AATGACTCTCTTTTCTCGTTTTCCCCCCCCCTTCTTCGGTTTTGAATTATCTAATTTTTCTTCTTTCTCTTGCTGGTGCGTACGCCCGTTGAGAGGCGGATGGTCAATTATTGTGTTTTTTTTTTCTGTCTTTGTTTTTTCTTATCTTTGCTGTGCCGTTCAGCGCCCGCGCGGCCACACCACGAAGAAATGTGGGCAGAGTGAGAAGCGGCGGTGGAGGGCGAGGGAAGAGGAGGAGTGAAAAAGGGATGGTTGAGAGATGCCTCATGTAGACACAGATATGTGAAGTATACCTCGGCACTAGCAATGACAGTAACGGAAGCAAAAAAAGAACTAGGGCCTTCGAGAAGGAATTTGCGTAGGCGTGTGGCTGCGTGTGTTTTTCTTTTTTTTTCTGAGAGGCCAGGCATTTACCCCACCGTAGTTCTTGTGCGGGTGGAAAATAGAAATTGAAGTGAATTTCATTCCTATGTTTCTTTCTATATTTATAGGCACACAACTTGTGCATGCGTATACCATACTTTGGAGGCCCAGTGGTGTCTCCAGGTGCCCTGTGTTTATATCTGCCGTGTCGAGTGAACATGCACGTCCTCTCCTCCGACTCGTTTTTTTTTCTTGGGCGTGAAGGAACTCAGTAGAGTCGTCGTGAAAACCAGGACATATGACCGCAAATGGGGCAACGAGAAGCATGGGACGTAACGTACATCCTGCCCAGGGGAAATAGGGCGGTCTATCGACAGGTGCCACTAGACAGCATGGAGGAGCTTCGTGAACTCACTCATGAAGCGGCCATAACGTCGTTAAAGCCGCAACAGAAATACATGCTGCACCGCTCTGCAAGTGATGAAGAGTGTGTCGTTCCCGGGTTTCTTGTTTATCACGTACCACCGAAAGAACTGGAGCACCTTGGCCCCATGCTGCTCTCCCCAGAGGTGGAGAGTTGGCGTTCTCTCCTTCAACGGCAAGCTGGTGCCTCCCATATGGTTCTCCAGATTGTCCCAAGAAAACGGCAAGAGAAAAGAGTTCAGGACGCAACTGACGTGGCGCGTGGTTTCAGATCAACCTCCCCGCTCCTGGGGGATACGAGGCCACGGCAGCCCTCGCTGTCCCGCGTCGGCAACGCGGTGGCCATGGGGGAGGCAGAAGACGACGCTGAGGTTCCGCCCCCGTTGACGGAGGCTGGAGACCCGGTAGGGGCGGGGGTCACTCGCGCCTCTTCTTGTGACGTGGAATCGAAGTCCCTGAAGTTCAAGCCCCAAGCCACCTTGGCGCGTCTGCGGGAACACGTAGGCGTTTGGCCGCATCTAAGGAGCCGTCCACCACAAGTTCCGCCAAACAGTTACACTCTGAAAGACGGTGTTACCCCAACAGTACGTGTATTTGCCCTCACCTACGTCTTTAAGTATGTTGAAGACCTTCGACGTGGGTATGACGACGGAGAGGGAAAGATGGATAAATTTCCATCAGCGCTCATGTCGCGCTCTGACCTGGTTTACTTTGCGGCATCTGTCGTGAAGATTTGGGAGGTGCAGCTGGTGCTGAGTTCTACTGCCATGAATGAGAAATGGATCAGGCTCCCTCAATTAGTGCGGAGCGCGCAGTCTGACTACCTCAGGAATCTCCTGGGTGAGTTGTGTTCACGGCTCTTTGTTTCCGTTCAATTAGAGCATAACCGTTACCAGAAACCAAAAAGAGAATTATCGCCCCTATTGGAGGAAAACCAATGTGGCCCATCCTCCGCGTATGATGAGAAAAGCAAAGAAAGGGTTGAGGCAGATGAGGCACTGCGTCTCATTGAGGAGGTGACATACTGCTCCTCTACAGGACCCCTCTCTGTACCTCTGCGGAATCCCAGGAAAGGTGGGCTTATTGTTTCTCTGCGTGCGCCAAAATACGTCCTTGTGCACGAGGAAATCGTTATCGTTGGGTGTATGCAATCTAGAAGTTCTATCGGATTGTTTTGGTGGCTTGTGGAACTTGGGCCCTCCGCGCGTTTGCCGGAGATGACGTATACAGATGAAAACTATTTAGTTGTTCTCCCACTTGACGCATTGTACCTCCAGCGTCGCATCGCAACGTATCAAATAACCCCCAGCACGTTTCTGCTTATCATTCAACCCGGGTTCCTTTTGTCGTCTCGGCGGTATCGGTGCGTGGTGGAGGCGTATGATGTTCGAACAGGTGACGTGGCTGTGAGTGACGTGAACTTTGACACGCTACCTGGGGAACTTCCACAATAAAAGAATCTACGCACGACAACTGCGAACATGGGAGTGATAAGTAAATAAAAACAAAACATTGCTGACTTTTTCTTCTCCAGTTTGTGCTCAAGCGAGATATCTGCCTGGGCCCAGAAGACGGAAGGTTTATTTCTTTTCTTTACGAAAACCAGCCAAATAAAAGCAAACGCAGTATTGACCGAGTAATTTCTGTGATGTTAGAGGTCGTGCAGCGATGAGAAGTGATTGGACCTTCGGTGGGAACGTCATCTATGTATTTATTTTTTTTACTGTTTCTGTCTTATGTGTGGAAGTTCGTGGGGGCGTGGGCGTCAACTTCGGGTTTGCCGCGGCTCTATTCCCACCGGAGCGTCGCACAAGCAGAATGGCGTGTCAAGCACTTTCATTGAGAAATAGAGGATTCTTTCTTCTTCCCTCCCTCCCTCTCTCTCTCTCTCTCTCATTCTGTGTGTGTCCCTGTGTGTGCGTTAGCTGCCCTTATTGTTTTCCCTCTGTTATTTATACTTCTTCTTATCTCCATACCTTCCGTGGGGTGGCTCAGTTGTGTGTTTCCAAGGGGCTCGTTGGGTGGGGTAAGCGGCGGATTGCCCTGGAGTTTTGTGCTGCTCAGCCTCCGTACGACGGCGAGGCGAGAGAGCTCGCTCCTCTCATCAGAACTCCTCATCCGAGAGGTGCGCAGACGTGCGGGGGTTAGTGAGGGAACCACAAGAAGAAGCGCAGACAAAAAGGGGCGTTTCAAAGCTGAAGGAGCGGGAGGACAAAAAAAAAAGGAAAAGGAAAATTGCAGTGGAGGAAGGTCGCAGCCACAGGGGGGAGGAATGAGGCTGTTGTATGGATCGCCGTTACCCCCTGGGTTGGAGGCACCCACGCGCGGCGAGCTTCGTATTCGAATAGAGAAACTGCTCCTGAAGGATGAGTTGGTGAGTACGGGCGTTTCGTCAGACGTCCCCTCCCAGGGTTCACGCCTATATCCCATACCCATTGATCACTGTGCGGTGAGTCCCTTGTTTTGGGGTGAGCAGCATCCCACATGTCGCTGTGTGCCGGCAACACCTGGAAAACTACGTGGTGCGGTGTCACTTGTCTATCCTCTAAAAACGTATGAACCGCAATTCAGGGAGTATCTCTCTCACATGAGCAATTCCGAGCATCGAGGCGTTCATTTTTCTGTATTTGTCCCTAATAGTTATAGTGGTCGGCATCGATCGGTTCCTGTCGGGAAAAGCATCGTTGCCTTGAACACGCTCAAACCCTCTTCCCCTGTCTCTGGGTGGTTTCCCATTATGAGTGATGGAGCGTTGGTTGCGTCGACGATAGAAGACGGTGAGAAAAACCTCAATGCCAGTTCAGTAGAAGTAGGAAGGTTGAAAATGACCTTCACGCTGAACTTCTTTGCTCGGGCTCCAGTGCCGCCCGCACGTCAGCCGTCCCACGGCACTCAGAAAGTCTCCCACGACCAAAGCGCAGGAGATGAGAAAATAGAAAGTGCCGAGGTGGTGCAGGATGGAGGACGTAGTGAACAGGAGCTGCGGTCTGTGCAGTCCTTGCCCCTAGTCTCTCCCGAGGCTGGTGTCGCTGCTGCTGCTGCTGCGTCCCATAGACAGTTGCCTCGGCAACAACAGGAGATGCAGCATCGTCTTCTTCAGAGCGGTGGTTGTATTACGAAAAGTGAATTAGGAAAATCGTCAATGTCGCACGAGGATGCAGAACCTGCTGCGGGTGCTGCTGCTCGTCAGTTGCCGCCCTCATTCCCCCCCGCCGCCACCTCGGTAGAGATTAATCAAAATAAGGTCATAGATGAGTTGCTTCAACAGGGTATTAGCCTGCGTGAAAAAATGGCAAGGGTGCTATCGCACTCTACGGGTTTTGATGATCTGACCCCCTCACCCAATTTTTTGTCTTCTCAGCCAGTTCTCAGCATGCTTGGAGGCCCTCCAGGCCACAGCCCATCTCTTGCTGACGTTGCTCAGCTTGATGTCGGCGCTGTCTGTAATTTAAATGACTCCTCTCAAGGCTCCTTTAGTTCGGCGAGTGTTGAGACTGTGGTGAGTGAAGAAGATGAATTGGGTAACGACGTTGGTCCTGTTACACCCGGTGCTGCTGCTGCTGCTGCTGCTGCAGGTGGCGAGAGGTCAGGGGCATTGTGTAGCGTTTCCACTGGAAGACGTGCATTCAGATTGCCTTTCCAATCACCAGGAGTGTTTCAAAATGGGGATACGTATGTAGAGGTGGATCTTTCTCGAATTGCATTTTCCTCGGGACGAGCAACACTGGGTATGGAGGAGATGCGCGTAGGGATTCGCCTCTCAAAGGATGTCAAGACAGACGAGCCTGTGGAGTCTTATTCTTCCTACGTTCACCGTGTTCCTCTTGTTCGCGGAGCCGAACATCACATCGTGATAGGCTTTTCTGTGCGTTCCTTTAGCGAAGACAGCAGTCGAATGGTCATCTCTTTTTACCGGGTGCGTTCTGCACCGGTACCAAATCCCCCTGGCGAGGTATTGTTGCCTGTGCCCGCCTCAGCGCAGCGGGTGCTTGTGGAGGAGACCCTGCTGGGAATGTGCATCGTTGGCCTACACAATCAATTTAGGAATATTGTTCTCCATGATCCTATTACCGGTGAGGATCCGGCGCAGGCCCAGTTACGCGTGAGCATCCGAAGCAGTAGCTTGCCCTTGTCGCAGGACAACCTTCAGGATGGGTTGCCTGCCAAGGAGAGAGAGGCCAACAAATCTGATTTAGGCATTGAGGGGGCTGAGAACGGCGTGCTTCTTCCAAATACCAAAAAATGTAATGGCCCAATTGAAAAACAACAAGGCAACCCTGCCGCTACGTCTCCGACGAGGCATTCCCACGGAAGGCAGTGCAATGTCGTTGGACGGGGTTCCTCCCCTTCTTCTGCTTCTTCTTCGTCGCCGTCATCGCCCCCATCGTCGTCGTCTACGGGGGAACTACCACCCAGAGTGAAGGGGAGTGCTGCCGCTGATAAACCGACGGCTACTGGGACCAGTGGCTGTGGTGGTGCTGTGCCCGAGTCGAGGTACGTTCATGAGCAATGCTCTTCTAAGTTTCCAACTGTCCCCACTCAGAGCACCGTAACGGCCAAGGCAGCTGCTTCGCATAGAGTCCACGATGCGTCTACTCTGAAAACTGGTTCTTCGATGGCTGCTAATTCGGTAGACAGCCATGGTGATGAGAAGACTGCTCATGGTGCTAACGCCACAACACTCACAACCGCCTCTGTGGATCGGGCATTGACGAAAGCGATCCAAGAACGATTTCGTATGCATGTGTCGATACGTGCTGGGAAAGAGCTACCAATGGTGGCAATAAGTGAAGAGGGCCCCACGTTGCGATCACTTGTCGCCGCGGTGGATCAATTAGAAAATGGTGTGCGCTCTGCTGTCACAGCTGATGGACGTCTTGTCCTTCTTGATAGCAAACATCGTGTCTTTAAAGCCCCCACAACGTTTTTCGTTGTTGAGGATGTCCTTAATGGGGCGGATTCTCGGGCTGCAGCTAAGGGAATCGTGCCGGATTGGTTTGTGGAGGCTGCCGTGCGTGGGAAGTACGACCGTACTCTGATAGTCCCTGAGTCTCAGAGCCCACAGTATGATTATGAGTCCATCCTATCTCTTCCCAAAGAGGCGGTTTTCCTCCGACATGAGGGTGAGAACAGAAACGCCACTCTGCAAGAATCATCTACGCTTTTCCCATTAAATGATAATACTTCCAGTGCACCAAGTAGCTCCTTTTGTTTGCGGGAATTGCGTCTAACGCTGTGGCACGCGGTGGATGACACAAGCACGCCGTCAGCTTCTGAGTGGAAGGACGATGAGGAACGTTTCTGGGCACACACTGCCATACTAGGTGAGTGCCGGGTGGAACTCCGTTCGTTGCGCTTTCTAAAGTTACTTGACGGATGGTACCGCATAAACGCCATTGGTAGAGCGGACGAAGTCGTTGGGTATGTCCGCGTTAGCGTTCGGCTGCTTTAAACAGCAACGAAAAAGAAAATAAGAAAAAAAAACTTTAGCTGCTGGGAAATCGGAGAACGAAGGGAGACTTTAAAAGTAAATGAATGGGACGAATGCCAAGGGAATATGAAGGCATACGTGTGAGTCTGGGTGAGGGAACGGGTGGGATTGACCGAATTGTGGGGTGTGGGAAGGACGATGACGAAATTGTGATCGATGAGTCTGGAGTAAACAGGCAGTGGGCGTTGGTGGGGGTAACATGAGTGGCTGCGTTGTTGTGCCACGTGTTCTCCTGAAGTTGGCAGAATGGAGTTGGGTTGAGGATGAAGGGAAGAAAAGCGCTGGAGTGAGGAGCAGGAGGAGGGCGAGGGCACCCTCGCGATTTGGAACAGTTGTGTATGTTCACGACACTTGCTTGAGATCTTGCAGCACCAGTGCGAGAAAGTTCTCCGTAATGCTCAGGATGCTGGGGATGAAGGCAGCGAAGGATTAGGAGTGAGGAATGGAACTTAGCTGCCTTGCTTTCCTCTTTCTCTTCTTTTCTTTTTTCTTTTTGACTGTGTATGTACTGTTGGTTTGCTTCATTTTGGAAAACCGTCATGTGATGGGCATCAGTTATTACTATTAGTATTATTATCAGTACTGCCTTTTGAAGCTTTCTCACGCTGCACCTGTTGGAGGCATTGTGGAAATCCTGCTTCTCTTACCTCGTCTCTTTGCTATAATTTACGCCTGCTGTCGCAGGAGAGCAATAGGTTTGCTTCCAAGCTGAGCTGGCACCATCTGTGTTTGCGGGAATGAAAATAAAAAAAAAACCGGACGGCGGTGAATGCAGGTGCGTCCGGCAGATGATCCCGAAACGCCTCTTTTATTCATGGAAGAATGTGATGGGAACTCCACTCATCCCTTTTTGCCAAATGGGGGTGTGTGGATGGTGACCCTAACGGGCAGGGCGTGGGAAATCGACCTAGTGACTTCATGAAAGAAGATACTCCTTTACTACAGAAGCTGAATTCGTCACTACCGCTGGAGCTCGCATCTGGCGTATACCTTCCAAAAAGTCTGCGGAGCGCGAAGACAGAGATGCGGCTTGCGTGCATCGCATCCACTGTTTGCCTCATTGAGAGCACGCCGATGCAGCTGACCCTCCTATTAATCCTTATTCTCCACTGAATCACCACAGTGTATGGGTATTTTGCCGGTGTTGGTGAGACGCTTATTATTGGTTCTGGCGTCATGTTTCTGTTCATTGCCGAGCACACCTTCATGATTCTCGCTGAAGGCAAAAATCATTTTGGACCGCCACCATTACCGAAATGTTGTCCTTATTATGGAGTGTTTTTTGCTTCTGGGCTTTGCGTTGGAGCCGTTTGGGTTAACGCTGTGGCGTGTGACCGGGGGATTGTCAGTGACTCTTATTGGCCTCCCCGTTGCCGCACTGACATTTTACCAGCGATTTCGGCAGCTGCGTTTGGTACTCCGTCGACACGTGTTGTCTGAGCGTCGTCGATATCGCGGGAATGGCTTTGATAGTGACGTAACATTTGTGCATTCCACAGTACTGGCGATGTCATGGCCAGCGGAAAACGTTGTACGTTGCTTCCGCAATCCTGCCCAGGAGGTGGAATTTCTACTTGATACGTTGTACGGCCGCTATTCGTATCTTGTGGTTAACCTCTGCTCTGAGCGGGGGTACAACAAACTCAGGTTGTTTCATGGTGAATTTGTGCGTTACCAGATGGATGATCATAACCCGGCGGAACTCAATGAAATGCTCTCGTTTGTCCGCGAAGCTGGAGGTTTTGCGCGCAAGGATCCTGAGCGCCGGGCCGTTGTGGTGCACTGCAAAGGTGGCAAGGGACGCACAGGCACAATGATTTGTGCGTATCTGTTGTACAGCGGACTTCAGCCAACCGCGGATGGAGCTTTCGAGCACTTTGGCACGATGCGAGCGACCCTTGGTGCCCAATTTCAGGGCGTACAGACGCCTTCACGGGAACGCTATGTGCATTATTTTGAAAAACTGTTGACGTCGCTGAGGCCACCGTTTGCAGTAGAACCTAAAATGCAGCCTAAACAGATTACACGCATGGAACTGCGTAATATTCCTCCCTTCTGTCGGAAGGGCAGTATTGGCAAACTTTGGTTTGTGGTCATTTTAAAGCCAAGCACCGCGAGACGTGTCATTTATATTTCAAACCCAACTTTTTTTTTTGATGCATATCCACCGGGCAATTCGGCGACGCATGTGTGGTCAAAACTGCGTGACAGTTGCGTGACAGCGGGCACTTCCCTGTACGGTGATTCACAGGAAGTGAATGTGTCGTTTCCATTGTGCCCGTGCCACGATGTTTTTGAAGTCGACGTATGCGGCAAACAAATTGATTGCGCTGTAATCTATAGTCAGTATGGTGCCACTGCATCGAAGGAGAGAGAAAGAAAAAAAAAGGTGACACTGAAGGCACTTCAGCTTCAGCAACCTGCCGCCTGTCGTGGATGAGGTTGCTATCAAATTATACTGTGCCAATAGGCTCCTTAATCCGGCTTACGCCTACTTTGCAATTCTGGTTTAACACCGTCATGGAAAACGGTGTAATTCACCTCGGCAAGCTACAGTTGGATGGCACTCACAAAGACACAATGGGGAAATGTTACCCAGATGACTTTTCGGTGTTGCTACGATTACACGACATAATCGTCAGAGATTACGTCTCGTTCATTAGTTTCATTGAGGCCTACTTTCTGCTTTTATTTTATTATAAATGTTATTTTCATTCTCTTTCTTCTACAGCTGTAGTACCTGCTGCTTGCTTCTTATATTCCAAAATACACAAACGCAAACACATGCAAACGCGCGTACAACGCTTTTGTAATACCCCTGGAAATTTCAGCTCCAGCCTTGGGGAGCGACCCAAAAATAAAAATTGTAAGACGTCTTTCTCCCCCATGCTCTTCTCACCATATGCACAGCCATCAACACAAGGAAGAAAAAACAGCTATCCATCTACACATACTCCATCGCACCCAAGCCACGAAGATGTCCCTCAGGCTCTGCGTGTGTACTGCCTCAGCCAATGGCGAGTACTACATGGAAATGTTTAACAAGCACCTCAGCAGCTTCTTCAAGAGCATCACCCTGGGCTCGAAGGTGAGCGATTTTAAGGAGGTCAAGGAGTCGAAGGACCACATCATCCTCTATGTTGACGGCCCCGCGGGGTACGACGGGATCAAGGACTTGGTGCGACGACTACCACCTGCCGAAGGAGCAGAGGA